GTTTTTAAAGTAGGGATGATTTCTGCATGTGCCCATTCGCTGGTAAAGAAATATATTAATTTTATTCAGATGTTTTAGAAGTAACTGTACTTATCTTATAACGATTTTTATGCTTCACAAAAGCAAGGATCAAGTGCAATGTGGCAGCTGAAAAAAAAGCCTCATACTTCACTTCAGTGTTTCTATATATATTTGATCCTTCGTGATCATCGATTATAGAATGTTAGTTTTGGAAATTGAATACCCCTTAAAAGTATGATAAACAAGATCAAAAAGGAAAGGCGGCATTCTATGAATGCAACTCCACACGACCCAGCAACAAGTAACGGAGCCAAGGAGGACCCCAAACAAAAACAGAACAGGAAAGAGCGCAAGGCAGAGCATGGACAGGCTAATCACTTAAATGATACTTTAAAGAAATAATAGTAAACGACAAGTAAATGAAAGAACAAATAATTGAATTATTATTAGGCCAACAAAGTAAAGGGGCGCATGGGAAGGGGATACGAGATTCGCGGAAGACTGGGGCAAATTGAAAAAAAATCGCTAAAGCCGGTGTTATGGTACGTGAGAGTTGTTCCATTTTTACATTTTCTCTTTTAATCAGACTCAAACACACCGGGTATATTATTGTTAAACTGCTTCCGATGAAACACTACTTCTCCATATTTGTATATATTGAACTGTGATAAGGACTTTGCCGTATATAAATCCTTTTTGCACATATTTATATATTTAATCTTTTATTATTCCACACTTTATAAACTTCCAGCGTTGCATCACGTGATGTTCAATTGCAATCATTATGGGGTAAACTTTTTCAGTTTCGCCAATATTTTTTTCTCGGGTTCATAATATCCGTTTATTGGGTTTCATATTGTAACGACATGGAATGTGTTTTTCCTATGTTACAAAATAGTACAAATTAGATTGCCTCGTATCTAGGTGCTCTGCGCATTATAAATTGTTTTACTTCTAAAGAGTGCAAAATTTATCTAGTTAATTAAATGGTTTCATTTCTATTCTCATCAAATTTTGAAACACATTTTCATACATGGGATACCTAATTGATTGCTTGCATTTATTCATAAGGAAAATATCATTGTACATTTAAATAGATAAATACAGAATCCCTAAAGAAAACCCAACACGACAATATTGAAAATGTTGCAGGCTCGGTTTGATTGAGCCTGTTCATGGGCGGTACTGGAAAGTGCAAGTTACCGTCCACGCGCCCTAGCACCGGCTTAAGCAGAATTCAACATTTAAACATGAAATAGTAAAAGTTTGAATTTAGAAACATCCGCAGATGTGTTCATACGGCGGTTATCATGGAACCTTTAATGTGACACTTCCGTGCCATTCCATGAAAAGTGGCGTATGGTCCCCAAGTAATAAAAAGCGTGTGCCCTAATCGAGAAAACAATGGGCGGAACTAAATAAAATGGAATTTTGAAAGGGGATCAGAGGTTATGAAGCCTGCGTATCACAGATAAGACGTCAAAAGACAAATTTAAAAAGCAGGCAACATATCCTAAGGGTGATTCAACATTATTCAAATAGGAATATTGGAACCACCCAACTAGAAAATGCCGAAAAGTTGAAACTAAAAATACCACAAGCACAACAATAATGTCGTGCTGAACGATCAAGCCAGAAATAAACTGTTTGATTAGGTGTTGTTCAACTAAAAGCCAAGAGATAAGAGACTCTCATTGACAACTGCTGTGGTGTTAAATCGCTCAGACGAGGCGTGTAATTAAGGTTTAACATTAAATTCAATTGAGTATGAAAACAGTTTTAGACACATTCAAATTCCAATATCTGTAAGTTGACATTGAATCGATTGTAATAAAAAAAGATTAAACGTCAGCGATATAGAATGATAGATATTTCCAGTTATATTTTCAGACAAAAAATGTCTAGAGACTGGTAATAATTTACTCTTGAAACAAAAAGGGCAGTATTTCACATCACTGTATGTACATGCATTTATCTTTTTAGCTTAAAAATCCACTGTGGTCCAAAAAAGAGAAGATAAAAATCCCTAATGAAAGTCCAAAACTACAAACTTGAAAATTATGCAGGCTCTATTGCAACACTGAACCAGTACAATAGAATCATTACTGTTTGCAACAATTAATTGTGTACCAACATTTTGACAAGACTCGTATTGCTTCAAATACTATGCAAATTATAGAATGTTTTACATATTTTATCTAATGCAGCTTTAAAGTATTATCATAGTATTTCCTAATGTGTTTCTAAACACTGCTGCTATATCGTTAGTTTATCTGAACTTTTAGATGGATCTATTTGATATTTGTTTTGTGTGTGTAGGGGGGGGGGGTATTTAGGATATGTAGCCATTTCTTCGAATCTGTAAGAGAATTATTTTTTTAAAAATTAGTGGTTTCATTATCTTTAAAAACTTTTAATTTTCTTTGGATTTTCTTTGGCTACATCTCCTAAATACCCCCCCCCCCCACACACACACAAACAAAATAAGTATCTAAAGGTTCAGATAAACTAACAATATAGCAGCAATATTTAGAAACACATAGTTACTATGATATTAAGTGATTTTTTTTGCAACCTGCATTGATCAGAATACCAAAACTAAAGTCGATCCAGGTAACACTTTTTTAAAATTAAAAAAAGAAACCCCCCCCCCCCCCAAAAAAAAAAAAAAAAAAAAAAAAAAAAAAAAAAAAAAAATAAAAAAAATAAATAAAACCCCAAAACAACAAACAAACACAAACATTAAGCATTCTTTGTACTGGGAAATCGTTTGAGCGAGCTCTATACTTTATGATAAAAAAGTAATTTTTATAGAATTTTTTAAATGTAAAAGAAAAAAATTGATGGAACGGCCTGACTAAAGGTTAACTGAACCCCCCCCCACACACACACGCAGATCGCAAAAAGTCACATGCATTAAATACCGTGCATTTGAAACTTATCAACAATGCTAATCTACAACGACTCCTCAAGATATAGCAAAATTGTGTATTCGGTATTGTTTAAACCATACTTCATGATAGGTTAACAATCAATAAAGTTATAACTATAGGGTGGTAATGTGTATCGCAATTTTATATATAGATCGCCTATTTCGTGTAGAGGGGCACAGGTCATCATTTAAGATTTAGATTTTTACCTTTAGATTTTTTTTTCAATCAGGAAGTAAATCAACCGAAACGAAAAGTTGGAATTAACTTGCCAGACAGTTATTCGCTGTTCATGTCGAAAATTCTTAAACTTCAAGTCGATTTTGTACAATGGAAGTTTATTATTAACTATCATTTCACTTGAATTTAACAACAATGGGAAACAATCAGGATAAGCCATTAACAGGTAAACAACGGTCAATATTATATTATATATACTTTATTCAGAAATAAGACATCATATGTCCATCATCTTACATAGCTGAATAAATTAATACACAAAAGATTGTAATATCTAGATTTCACAATAAAATATCATCACAATGGCAGTCAAACAGTATATAAACAGTAAATAACAATTGTAATCATTAATTTGATCTTACCGCAATCAACTGGAAAAAAAAATATATCTAACTGATTTTAATACACAAATCATGTTTTTAACTTTAACAGGGAAGTATTTCCGGTGACTTAAGAAACAAAATTGTGTTTTTAGTTCAAAACTTTTTAAGAAATACAATGATAACTTCTGAACAACTACTTTGTTATCATTGTTTAACAGCTCAGTAAATTTTAATACATTAGCATTTCTCCAAAAAATTTCTTTTATATATCGTTTGCGTAAATCAATATACAGAGGACAGGAAAAAAAAGATAAATATATTAGATTATTATAGATTATTAAGATAATAGATTATTATATACATTAATATAAACTAATTAACTCGTCATGTGCACGCGAGAGGACACGTGCATGCGCACGCTTAGTTACTGATTATTTGCTATTATTCGCCTACTCCTTGTTCAAATCTTGTGCACTCCATTTTGTTCGTTGCCTTCCTGGGTGCATTACCGATGCTTCTGTGTGGTTGGGCACTGTTGCTTGACTGGGTTAACTAAATGTTGCTCTCCCTTGTAGATCTTTTCTTTCTTATACCAGTGGCTGTAAAACAAAAAAATAAAGACATTTATTAATAGTATATAAATAACACATGGGTAATAAACTGTCTATTTATATGGTTATAATCTCTAAATTCTGATCATTCTGTATACAGAATACTCTCTTCGCATTGTTTTTGACAAAGTGCATTTACAAAATAACGATGATATCCTACTTAGCAGGCACTCAACGTTGTTTCAACGTTGAAACAACGTTGAAATATGGTCGTGACGTTGTTCAACCAATATTCAACTGTGGGCGACCATACGGACATATTGCCAATGTATATTCAACGTTGATACAACGTTGTTTATGGTCGAAGTATTACATTTAGTTTAATCATTATATAAACTTTTATACTACTAATTTTGTGTTATCATTCCTTTATTGAATCAGTCTGTAAGTGATTTTTGTCAAGAAATTTTGCGTTACAATCTTTTCCCGGATATTCAAAATTAGTGCTAAAAAATATAAAATTGGAAATAATTTTTCACTTTCTATTAACGCTTTAAATATTAGTTAATATGTTTTGTTGTTTGTTGTTTTATTTTTTAGTTCTTTATGAATAACATTAATTTATTTATTGATATAAGTCAAAACCCCGTTTATAAAATAACACTGGTCAGGTGAAGTAATTGTTGCGGTCTATGGTTTTGTTTGTTGTCTATGATTATGGTTCGTGCAAATGGTGGCGCTGTTTCGAAAATTTGAGAACAACAGGATTCGGCAATTTATTTGGATTTCGGAGGTATTACCGTAATGTTTAACTTTAGTTTACTGATTATTTTCTAAAATATTATTATCCATTCTTAAAATTCTACTTTATTTTTTTTATGAAATAGATGAGAGATGAAAACACATGATTGAGTTGATTTGACACGTTTTCGCGACCTAATTGAATGATTTGGGTTCGGCAGGTCTTATAAACACGAAGGTTCTGATGTCCTAGGCAATTTATGATATTACAAATCATGTCATTTAATTTATTTTTCATATTATTAAACATTTTTCTGTACAATATCCTAATTAAAATTTAATCAATTATAAAATTGAAACCTATCAAGTAGTTCGGCCCACATAATTTACGTCCCAAGACGATTCGTCAATAAAACTATGTTTATATTTTAGTGATAGTATAATACAGTGTTAATTAGTTTGATAAAAATACATTATTATGAAGTTACATAACAAAGTTGAGTGTTAAACTTTAAAGTTTAATAGTCGAAAATTTATAGGGAATAAAACATATATTTCTATTTTATTATAAATTATTTTATATTCTAGATCCTGGTCCTGGCTGAAATTTAGAGCATTGCAGCTGTAGCCTGTATACTATTCATTCAACATGAAAAGGACTGTCAGGTTTGATAAATTGAAATTAATTCTTATTAATTTATATATTTGAATTTCTTTACAATACAAAGAATAAATTTTTCAACTACTGGATATTTATCTTGTCTTAAAATAAATTATTTTCCGAATATTCCTGTAACATTATTTATTTTATATAAAATTTACATTTCAGAATGCTGCATAAAATGGTCTTAGCTAGAGCCTAGAATAATAATTTCTTGGGAATATGCTGCAAATAACTGATGGGGAGCAGTTTTTCTTACCAATCATAGGTGAGACTTTTAAATAGCTTGTTTTTAATAGATTTTGTTGTTTTATATACAGTATTTGCTGTCAATATGATACTTAGCTATGTTTCAATGTCTATGCTGTTTTATGATGTAAATTAGAGATAAGAATTTTAAGATAAAAACAAATCACTAAGTTGAGTAATTATCTGTATAATTTGAGATTGACCAAGTCACTTTTAACTACACACTTCTTATTTTTATTTGCAGAAGCAGTAAGAGTACTCAAACACTTGACATACCAAGAAAGATCTAGAAGAAAAGATTGAACAGATTGTACCTTAATTGTTAAACTATTAAAGTGAATTAAGCTGCACTTGAACTGTATTTTTGAAATAAAATATCTGAAGTATTTAATATTGTCTTGATATTTTGTTAAACTTGGTTACTTTGCTTTATATCCAAAAATTAAAGTAAAGTAGGTTTTCAACGTTGAAATGACATTGAAACGCCAACGTTGAAGCTGCACCGTTGTATCAACGTTAAAATTTTTCCGTTTTTTAAAACTTTAAACCCAAAAAAACCATTTTTTTAAAAAGGGGGAAACAAATTTAATTTTTTCATGTGCCTGCGGGTATGTCTGTCCAATATCTGTAAACTTTTCAATGATTAAATTTTAAAAATTTTTTTGCATATTTTTTATACTTTGTTTTAAAAGGGTATACAGATTTTATAGCGGGTTTTTCAAATTTAGTAAAAAAACCCGTTTTCCCCTTGAAAAACACCATTTTTGGATGAAACCTAAAAAGAAATTTCCTCTTTTTCCCAAATTTTCACTTTTTAAGAAATTTTTTAATATATCTTTTCCCATATTAAATTTAAGGGCTTTAAAAGGGTTAAAAAACTACCCACTTTCATTTAAATAAACTTTTTTTAAACAAAAAAAAGGCAAAAAAATATAAAAATTTTCTTTTTCTTTCATAAAACTTGGGAAAAAACCTACGTTTTCAAACTTTTTACCCAACCGCATGCCGTCCCAAAAAATAAATGAATTAGAAAATCTAAAATTAAAATATGTCCAAATCCAAAATTTAAATATAAAAATAATAAAACATTTATTTATTTTTAAATATGGCAAAAATTTTTCTATTTAAAAACTTTTTTAAAAAACCCGACTATAAAAAATATATTTTTATTTTTTTATTAACATTCTAAAACCGCTTAAAAATGGATTAAAGTTTACTTCTGGAAAACTTTTTTCAACAAAAAAAACATAAATAAAAACCCAAATCCCCTTGGGGGAAACAAATTATTTGTTTCACCCCTGCATGAAAAAGTTTTTCTCCCTTTTAGTAAAATTTTCGCCCAAAAACTTTTCCGGAAAGGGGGAAAGATTCTACTCAAATTTTACCCAATTTAGCCTTGGGTAATCTATTTTCAACTCAATTCTCAATTTAACTTTTACCCCTGCCCTTTAATTTTTGAAAAGGGTATAAAAATTCACTTTACTTTAAAAAGGAACCCCCAAAGGGAAAATTTATTTTACCATTTTAAACTCCCATGGAAATGCTAAAAAAATTTAAAAGATACAAGAAATACCTTTTACCTTCCCGGGACCTAATTAAAAAATTTAAAGGGGAAATTTGAAAAAACAATAATGAAATAAAAAAAAATTAAAATTTGAAAAAAAAAGCAAAATTGCAACCAAAAACAAATGAAGTTTTAAATCAAAAAATTTTGGGAAACAAATCCAGATAAATTTACATTTGACATTTTTTTAAAAATTTTTTTAAAAGCATTTGATTTCCAGAAATATTTTTTAAAAATATCTATTTAAAACCCAAATCCCCTCATGGCGGGACAACCCTTTAACTTTTTTTCCATAACCCCCTTAAAACTTTTTATATAAAAGGTAACCAATTTATTACCCATAAAATAACTTGATTGCGGGCATTAAACTAAACCATTAAAAAAAAAAAAAGGGGTTTGACCGGGGAAAACCCAAAATTAAGATGAAATATGAACTAAACCAACGGGAAACATTCTAAAAAATTTAGTTTTATGTTTTTATCAATTTAGCACAAATAAAATTTTAAATTTTTCCCTGATCCAAACAAATAAAAATTTTATTTTAAAACTTAACTAAAAAAAACCGGGTTTAATTTGAATTTTTAAATTATAAAACCTTGAAAACCAATGAAAAAAGGGTAAAAACCCATCAAAAAAAAATATTTCTTTTAAATTTCATCATATTCCGGGCCCCTCCATCCTTTTGATGAATTTCCCCCAACAGGAAAATTTTTTTCATCTTATATTTGGATTTTTTTAAAAAAAAAGTTTTTTAAATGTTTAAACGTAGAATAGTCTGAAGGACAAAGGAAAAAATTTTAAAAACAAAAAATTTGTAAACATTTTTTAAACACCCTTCAAATGGAGTTAAAATAAAAACCCCCTTTAAAAAAATTCCATGTCTGCAACAGCAAAATTAAAAAATTCTGCGGCCCTTCATTTTTTAATTGGGCCCCAAAAGGGGGAAAGGGGAAAATAACGGGGTAAAAAATAAATGAAAATAAAATTTTAAAGGGGAACGTTCTTTTTAAAATTTACTTTAAAAAAGGGGTCATTATAAATAAATTTTTGTTTTTTTGATTTCTACCCCCCATTGTA